CTTTGTTCCTTCTTCATCACCAACAACCAATAAATGTCCAAGTCCTTTTTATTCTAAGTCTTTAGTACCTCTCAATTTTCATTTTCACGTTACTCTCATTGCTACTATTTCAGTTCAGTTCTACTTTGATTCTTATTTGAAATACATTAACACATTCTTAAGTGGTCTTTCTACTGTAGAAATGTGCTCTTCAACCCATGCTCTACTCTGCAACAAAAGTGATATTTGTAAAACACAATTTTGACCAGATTTCTACCTAGCTTAAGAACTCTTAAGACTAATTCCAAACATCTAAAGATAGCATCCTGGTTTCTTCATGATCCTTCCACCTACTCGCCCTTTCAGCCTGGAGGTGTATATTCTCAGTCTCACACTTTGTGTTGCTGCTATATTGAATGGCTTTTGGTTCCTTGACTGTTCTTTGTCTTTCTTGCCTTCCAGCCTGTAAAATGGTGCTCCATCTTCTTGGATCCCCTTCTAATCTCTTTTCCTAAGTAACTCCTAATCATTCTTTCAGATTCATCTTAGAGGTGACTTCCTGCAGGAAACCTTTGTTGATTCCTCCCCTGGCAAGGCCAAGTCATTTGTGTCTTCCACCTCATCCTCTAGAGCCCCTATGCATACACCTATTTTAGTTAATTTCACACTCTATTGTAATTGTTTTTGTAGCTTTCTTTCAGTTACATTGTCATGTTGTGTTCTTTTGGTTATTGCAGTCCTATTATCAAGCACAGCCTAGGTTGGCCTATTGTAGGTAATTTATGAATATATATTTAATGTACTAGCAGTAGAATGATTGATTGATTGAATAAACTTATTGGCAAACATTTATAAACCAATTTGGAGTGCAGTTTTAGGTTTAACACATAGCTCAACATTGCTATAATGTTGAAAAGAAATAAGACTGAAAAAGTTCTTTACATGAACCAGCACGACATTATATGCTAGGTGTTTTTTGAACAGTTTTACTCTATTTTTATAAGGCAGTAGTAGAATCAAACTCTTTAAATAAAACAAAAAAGTATTTGCTAATTATTTTATTCTTCTGTATTATCTGTTTTTCTGTATGTTTTTTTTTTTGTTGTTGTTTGTTTGTTTGTTTTAACCTGGACCAAAAAGGTTACCTTGATGTTCTGAATAATCTGTTAGACAAATAAGTATTACAACAATTTAGAGTATCTATTGTGTCCCAGACACTGTGTTGGACATATTATGTACATTATTTTATCAAACTCTCTTCCTCCAAATAACTCTGATATAGACACAATTATACCCATTTAACAGATTGAGGAATGCAAGATTGAGAGTGTAGTGACTAGGCTTCAAACCGAACTCCTTATTCCCTATGTGAACTGGATCTATATTCCCTTTTTAAATTTTATTTGCGTCTTGCAACAAATATAGATAAAATCTCCCCTCATTTCTCACTTACATACAGGGTGTGGCAAAACTAAGTTTACAGTTGTGAGTATGCAAAATAGAATTTATTCTTGTGTTATTATTTATTAATTATTGTATTTTTCCATGCAAGAAACTGTAAACCTACTTTTGCCCTACCCTGTATGAAATTAAAGAAAAATGACATGGCTTTAATACATTTTTGTTTGTAATAAAATCTTTATAACTGAGAGTATGGATTCTACTGTCATAATTATGTAGAAGTTAAATAACAATAGGAATGAGAAGTTCATAGATACTAACAGAAGTGACATAAAATATGACAGAAAATATTAACTGCATATGTTGGAGCTTGAGGTAAAGAAAGGTCAAGGTATTGAGTTTTAGAGGGTGAGAGGGCTTTGTCAATCTGTGTGCCAGCAAGGGAGTAGCATAGCTTTGGACAAAGGTATCAGCTCATAACAGCTCCAATATTGTACCAATAATAATAATAATAAAAAAATACATGTTGTTCTAAATAAGCAATAAGATTTAAAAGCAGAAGTAACTTTTAGAGTGTGTTTTTTTATGTTTGCAACACTTACAAAAAATTTTCCCAGCAGATACATATGCGTGTGTGTATATATATATTCAGAAATAAATTTCTTAGCATGTGGTAAATGTTGTTATAGTTTTCCATAAGAAATATGTAAATACAGTGAAAAATTAGAGGAGTGATACTAAGCTCTAGTTAATGAGAGGAATTTAATTATAAGACCCTAAAATATTTATCAAGGATTAAGGTAGTATGTGGTAGAAGTGACTACAAGAGTCAGAGAAATCCAATATTTGGGCAAGTTACCTTTTTAAGCTTTAGCTTCCTTATTTGGAAAATGGAGATAATGCTACTGCTTATCTCAGTGAAAATTAAATGAGAAGATAAGTGTAATATGTCTGGGTCATAGTAAGGAATTTATAAATGCCATCATTATTAGTACTGTTGTTGACAGCAATGCTTTGATCAGGAAAGTGAGGATTATATATTTTTAATTGAGTCTCTATGTCAAAAGAATCATCAGGTGAATTTCCATGACTGTTGCGTCTTAATTCAGTTTTATTTGACACCAGACACATTATACTAGACTGAAGTTTTGGGGATAATGGGCAGTTATTTTGGTTGCCTACAGGATCTCATCAGCATGCATTTCTACTGTAGGAAAGAGTGAACTTTGTTCTACTGATCCCTTAAAAGTTGAATCAATAAGATTATTTGCAGTAGCCATACATTATTATAAGTTAAATAATCTTTCCACAAACGAAACCCATGCCTATCACGTCACATGCTTTCTGGTACGTGCTTTAAAGTAGAGAAATTAAGAACTAGGAAATATTATTTTTGGATTCAACTCTGCTTAGTCTTCAACAAAACAAAACATGGCACTCAGTTTTGCAGAACAAGCAATTCGGTTGAAGTTTTCTTTTTTAAGTAAGCCACTTGGCATTCTGTGTTGGAATAGTTCAGAAGTTCAGTTAAGTTGATATAAACACTCCAAGTTCTCATTCTTTTATGGATTTCACTAAGCTTTTTAATTTTTTTAAACACAGAATGTGTTTTTTTTTTTCTTTTTATTGATTTTTAGAGAGAGAGGAACAGAGAGGGAGAGAGAGATGGAAACATCGATAAGAGAGAACATCAATTGGCTGCCTCCTGCATGCCCCCCCCCACCCCCGGGGATTGGGCCCACAACCTGAGCATGTGCCTTGACTGGGAATCAAACCAGCGACCTCTTGGTGTATGGGTTGATGCTCAACCACTGAGCCACACCAGCTGGCCTTAACACAGAATTTTTTGAAGAGACTATTTTACAATAAATATTTTTAATAGGAGTATTCCTGAATTTTGAAGAAGTTTGGTAGTAGTCACTTTCCTGGTGGCTCTCTGTACAAATCTAACTAAATATCACATTGAGAAAAGAAACACATTAAGAACTTTCATTTTATCAAGCATCTGTAGTGTGATGAAAGGGTTCAAAATTTGTTAGAATCCTACTTTTACCACTTTGGGGAAGGTAATTAACATTTCTGGGCCTCATGTACCCCATCTGTAGAACTGTGAAACTACCACTTACTTGAAGGGTTACTGTAAGGATTAAATGAGATAATGTCTGTAAAATGCCCATGATAGCATCTGGCACATAGCAGGCACTGAACAATATTTTGCATTTTTTAAACTACAGTAGTTTCTCCTTATCCATGGGGTATATGTTCTATATATACCCAGTGGATGCCTGAAACCATGGATAGCACTGAACCTTACATATAATTGATGTCTTTCCTGTACATACATACCTTTCACTTAAAGGAAGAGCTTTACCACTTCTCTTTGACGTATCCAAATTGCCAGCATCAGTACTTTTTACTTTGAGGCCATTATTAAGTAACATAAGGGTTACTTGAACACAAGCACTGAGAGACTGATACCAGATACTAAACAGGTCCAAGGCCACATGTCACTACTTGAGTCAAATTAACCAGAGACAGGGTTGAATTGTACATGAGTGTTTATTCCAATAATGCCAGCAGCATGGAGAGAGCTGCAGGTCATCCTAAAAATTCTTCTCTAACATCTTCTACTAGCCAGCTGATTATATAGGGATAAGGAAGAGGGGCTATGTGTGAGGGGGAAGAGGCATTAAAAGGGCTGCAGGGTTTGTGGTTTGTGTGTCTTTTTCTAGGATCTTAAAATTTGATAACAAGGTAGTTACTTTTCTATGATATTAAAAACAGCTCAGACCATTCCTGGGACCTGAGAATGGTCAGCGTTCCTGAGACAAACTCCTGGAGTGGGTAGGGTCCAGGCTCAGCAACCAAGTCAAAGTGTTTCCTGTCCTTGATCTGCTCTCAAAACTTTTTTTCTCTTCTGAGTAATGGACCCATCTGGGCTCTGAGGCATCTTATTTTTTACAGCCCTGTTTTCTTGTTGCAGCACATCCTCCAGTTTCCCAGGATCTGTCAGAAAACCTCTTGTCTGTAGTTAGTAAGGTAAACTGCTGTGGTCCTATTCCTATTATGTTCCCGTCCCCTATCAGTACCTTGATAGTCAATCTGATCATGGAAAGGACTAGTATAGGACTAAGGGATGGAGAGCACATACAGCATGGATAAGCTGAAGAAAAGGTTGATTGGGTCCTGGGCAGGATGGAACAGGATGGTGAGAAACTCATCATGCTACTCAGAACAGCAAACAATTTAAAACCAATCATTTTTTATTTCTGGAATTCTCCATTTAATATGTTTGGATCACAGTTGACAGTAGGTAACTAAAACCATGTTAAGCCAAACCTCAGATAAGGGAAGGATTACTGTAAACAACAACAGGAATTTCTTAATGTTTTTACTTATATTAATACTTTTAGGAACAATTAGATCTCTTAAGGAATTTGCCTCTGGCTATTCCAGTAAGAACTGAAATTATAGAAAAAAAGCTGAGATAACTGATTAAAAGCTTTCTTTTTTTAAATAGACTTTCTGACTGGTTTTGAATTTTGTAAGAAAATAAAAATATCCCACAATACTCCAGTTTCTAATTTATTATTAATAATTGTTTCTTCATTTTCTTTCAGAACACTTGATGTTTCAGTGAGCTTTAATGGAGGAAAATCTGTCATCTCGAGCTCACTGATAGTCACAGCCACAGAATGTGTAAGTCAAATGTTGGCATAGAGATACCTTTTACTTATTTATTTAATTTATTTTGTATTTTGTGTTACTCTTCTCTCGTGGATATTTTTCCATTGGTTTTTAGATAGAGTGGAAGGGAGGAAGGGAGGGAGAGAGGGAAACATCAGTGTGAGAAAGACACATTGATTAGTTGCCTCCTGCATGACCCTGACCAGGACCAGGGATCAAACCTGCAACCCAGGTACGTGCCCTTGACTGAAAATTGAACCCATGACCATTTGGTTTGCTGGCCTACGCTCTAACTGCTGAGTCAAACCAGCAAGGGCAAAAAGATACCTTTTAAAAATTATTTTATCCTGAAATAACTTATGGATCTTTAGTGTTGTTGTATACTACAATAAAAAGGTACAAATAATAAAACTGGAAAAATTTGTATAGAATTTTAGGGGTTTTTTTTCCCGTAGTTGTCTTTAAAGGGAATTTTTAGATTGTGTGCATTTTATTTTGATATTTTTAAAATTCAGGTCATATTTAAAATCTAAATGAGGTAGGAGAATAATTTCCAAATGAAACATTTTTTTTTCTTAAAACATTAAATATATAAACAGAATAATGCTTTTTTGTTATGAAGTTTGCATTTTGGTATCTAAGATATTTATCCTGGTTTTGAAATTATTAGTGCATCTTAAAGAGTGAGCTTATTATTTTATCCATTTAATGTTGGTGCTTTCTCATATGAGTAAGAAATTTGGTAGCTCAATAATAGCTTAGTTTGAAACTACATTGAAATTATATTTTAGTTGCGATGGCTAATTTACATTACCTAGATGCAGTGTTTTGAAATGTAAACTCCATTGATGAGACAGTGTTTTTCCCTTGTAGTTAATTTTTTGGGTTTATGGAAACTTTTTATATTAGATTGTTGAACATGAAAACAGAACACTATAATAGATTGATCACATGGCTATTATTTTTATGAGTATATTTTCTTTGTACAAAAAAATAAAATTCTGTCATTTAAAAGACCAAAATCCCAAACCTAAACATTTTCTCACATCTCATGATTTCATAGTTTTATATTTTGATCATTTAATTTGAGAGACATCCTTCCTCCAGAAAACAAACAAAACAACTCAATATTATCTGTAAAAAGGTAGTTGTGTTTTTCATTGCAGGGAAAACAATCATCCTTATGGACTCTTAGTTGCTATGGAATTCTCTGTATAGTTCTTTATCAATACCTATTTCTATTTTGAAAATGGCTAGTTTTTCCTCCTTTTTATCTGTAATTCATGTTCTAATTTTTAGGTTTTGTGAATGTTGCAATTTGTAGCTTATCTGGTCCCTCAGAATATGGTTGAGATTACAGAAAATTATGGTATGTAGTTTGTCAGTGTCTAGCTCACTGAAATGACATTCTTTCTCCATCCTTCTTCCTATTCTGCACCTCTAGCCATTTTTTTCCCCTCTCTTCCATGCCAGCAGGAACAAACCTTGCCTGTGTCAGGTAATGACACATGATTTCCGTGAGCAGGGATGCCGAGGTTAAATAACTCACCTGGAGTTTAAAAGTTGTATGCCTTGAGGAAGCCTTCCTAGATCTTGCTAGTTCTCAGGAAAACATAATGTGACTTAAAATGGTTTAAGAGTAAGGTGATTTCAGAAAAATGGACATCAATTGTGTCACAGACGGAGAAAGGGTGAAGGGACAAGTTGTAAAATTAAATATGGGATCAAGTAATTTTCATTGAAAAGAGATTTGAGAAAATACTTAAGAAGGTGAGAGTGAGCCCAGGGGAAGAGTATTTCATGCAGAGGGAGAAGCTAGAACAAAGCCTAGGGTGGGACTGTGTCTGGAGAGTTTGAAGAAGACAAGGGGGCCAGTTTCCTGGACTGGAGGTAGCTGTGGGGAGTAGGAGTCTAGAGATGAGTAGGAGAGTGGAGGGAGGGAGGCAGGTTGCATTGGGTTTTGTAATTCATTGTGAAGACTTGAGCTTTTCTTCTGCGCGAAACAGGGAACCATTGGAAGGTGAGATTGTATGACTTAATGTTTTAAAAGGATCATTCTGGCTCTTATGTTAACATCGATTTTTCAGGTAGGGACCAAATGTGGAAATGTGGAGGCCAGTTCTGTGGTTTCAGTAATCTAGGCGAGGGAGCGAGCCTCCACTACGAAGATGGCGGCGGAGATGGTGAGAGTTGTTGGATTGGATTTAAACACATTTCAAAGGTGGAGCCCACAGGATGGATGCCTAGACAGATTAGATAGGAGTGTCAGAGACAGGCATTAAGAATAGTTCCAGGCTTTTTCACTTGAGCAACCAGGATGGGTTGTCTTCAAGTAGAGCAGATTTTGGAAGAAGATGAGGATTTCTATTGTGAGCATGTTGAGTAAAAGAGGTTTACTTAGTCATCTCAGTGGTAGTGTCAGGAAGGGAATTGAATACAAAGCCTGGAGTTTTAGAGAGAGCTCTGGATTGGAGGTGCACATTCGGAGGTATTATGTGGAGTGAAGTAGTCAACCAAATTCCACATGATTTTTTTAAAATTTATTTTTATGAACTAATTTATTTTTGTTACAGATGTTTCTCCTTTCCCTCTATAGACATCTTCTTCCCTACCCCCGCCCCCCAAGCATTGTTGTCTATGTGATTTTTAATGGAAAAAAATAAACAAACAAAAAACAACCTTTTGCGAGATACAGCAAGAAATGAAAGAGTACCAGAGAAGAGTTTTGGAGTTGTTGCGAAACCAAGATAAATTGGGTCTTGAAAGAAGAGAAGAAGGGAAGGTGGTTTACAGATAAATAGCAAGCAGAAATTGAGAGTAGATATACTTGATGGGAGTGAAAATAGTGGAAGGAAACCTTGGAAATAGAAAATTTAGAACAGATGACCTATAGCCTGAAAAAGAAAAAGGTTAGAGTTCATCCTACAGGTCTGTGTTTTCTAAACTCTAGTACACAGAGATGTCAGCGTTAAATGAAAAAAAAGGAAAGAAAATCTCCCACGTTCACATCCCAAGGACCAATCTGTGTCTCTTCTTGTGGCTGCAGGGAGAGAGCAGAGGGAGAACTTCCACAGTGAAATCCTGGCAGGATAGGCATTAGAAGGTCTCCTTACCTCTTTGATTATTCATTCAAAAAAGTGCAGCTGAAACTGTAACCAAGGAGCATTATGCATCCAGAAAAGTCTCAAGGAAAAGTATTGCAACTAACAGCACAAGGTTTTGGACTGGGCTGGAAAGGCAAAGATGGAGAGATAAAAAGTTGGAGATAAAGTACTTCTCCCAGAATACGGAGGCACCAACGTAGCTCTAGATGACAAGGTTATTTCTTACTGAGAGATGGTGACATTCTTGGAAAATATGTAGACTGAAATAAGTCACTAAAAATGCCATCACGTGAAGCTGCCCATTGACCTGCGACTCAGTTCTGAAATCTTTCATCATGTAAATAATATCTATGTATATCTTTTATAATGAACTAATGATATCCAAACTAATAAAAATAAATAAAAATAGATTATTTTTTCATAATGCTAGGTTTATTCAATTTGAAAGAATATTTTTATTCTGAAATTGTTTTCTCTGCTATTTTAATTTTAAAATATACTTTGATTGAGAAAAGAATAGCTACAATGATTTCTTCCTCCCTCCCTTCTTTCCTTTCTTCTTTTTCTCTCCCTCCTTTCTACTTCCTTCTATTCCTTCCTTCCTTTCTTCTTTGAGGTGGGAGGAATACATAGTGATAAGTAAAAATGACACTGGACAAAGTTAAGCAGGTAAGGAAGATCTTATTCAAAACTATTGCAATAGATTGAACTCAGCTGTGCTGAGACAAGGGGCTGGAGAGATCTTAAAACTGGGGTGCAGGGAATTGCAGGCAGCTGTGTCTGCTAACTGGCCTTACCTGAAGAAAGGGTAATCTTTTTTTCAATCTTCCTGACAGAAGGTAGTGTTAAAACTTGGAGCAAAGCACCTATCACAGTTAGACTCCTCCCATCCCACCCAGACTGAGAGACAGAGCTGCCACCTTCTGTGGTGATTCCATTTCAAAGGAATGCCTCTCAGGTCAAGGAAGACATTCTCCCTGGGGTCTGCAAAACTGGAAAGTGACTTTTAAAGGGAATTTATATACATTTCACAGCAGCAGAGAAAGATTTTGCAATTATATATTTCTAAAGTAGATTCCCTAAAAAAGAAAGGTCAAGGACCTATAGTCAGGAAGAAATCTGTTTCATGTTTTTGACCAAGCTGAGGACAATTGTAAAGCCATCCTGGTCAATAGAAAATAAGTGAAGTGAATTAGAGAAGGAACAGCTCAAGAAATGGAACAACCAGGACACTTACCCTATAAAAAAGCCAAAGGGAATGTCATTTCAGCGTGAAAAGAAGGCAACACCAGGTGCCTCAGAGAGCTGAAGGAGGAAAGGTCAGAGGGGTCACAGTGACCTTGATGTTTCAGCTCAGAATGGTTATTTGTATTTTGTGTGAATTTCACTATTACACTCTTATAGGATAATAAATACTGTAATCTACCTTATATTTATAATAATCATAGCTTATTCCTTTTTCTCATTAAATATAAATATTATTTTATATTCAAACTCAAATTCCTCCATATGTGGTAGTAATATTACTATTTTATAGATATATAAAATGAGACTGGAGCTGATGAGATGTACCTGCTGATGTGTACATTAAATCTCTAGTCAAGCCCAGCTGGTGTGGCTCACAGGTTCAGTGTCAACCCATGCATCAAGAGGTCGCTGGTTCGATTCCGGGTCAGGGCACACACCCAGGTTGTGAGCCAAATTCCCAGTGGGGGGCATGCAGGAGGCGCCAGTCGATGCTCTCTCTCATCGATGTTTCTATCTCTCTCTCCCTCTCCCTTCCTCTCTCTCTAAAAATTAACAAAAAAAAAATTTTTTTTAAAGGAAATACATGGCATATCTTTAAAAAAAATCTTTAGTTGAAATGGAAGAGGACAGTGGGTAATATTATGAAAAATACCCAGGCAT